CCCCAAAACCCCAAAACCCCAAAACCCCAAAACCCCTCTAAGAGATAAATTATTGGAAATCCTGTGCTATCAGATGGTATGATTAGCTTAAATTTTATTCGACATTGATTCAACAAGACGGTCATTAGAGAAAGCTTATCCCTTGATCCTTTGAAAAGCACTTGTCCTAATACGCCTGCTTCCCAGTATAGATGCTATAAAGAGATTAGCCACACTCTTACTCGAACTTGATGCTGGCTTATTCATCAGGGAAGATAGTTGAACCTTGTTAGCTCCTGGATGAATATTCGGCATTTTTGTAGTCGCTCTAAAAATTAATTTCTCGAATTAAATACTTCATTTGCCTTATTGAAGTTTTAGGAGTTGCCTCATGATAGTAGCTCTTATTCTGGTATTTCCTATCCTTTTAATATTATGAAACTCACCTTGACGGAAGATCTTGGTAAGGCTTAGAATACTTAAGATCAGAAGATTGATTATGCTTATCCATTCTTTGTGAGTAAATTCCACTTCTTCTTGATTGAACGACACTATACTGAGTCCCAATATTGCTTCTTCTAGAATCAATATTTGTCTGATTTTCATCCTCTTCGCTATCAGAGTCATAAATATAAACTATTTTCTTCTTGAGTTTGCTTCCTTTAGGTCTTTTATCTTGAATCACAAACATATCTGAGCTATTGACATCGACTCCGTTTTGTTTTAGTCTCTCTTTGATGAAACTCATTCTTTTAGTCCTTGAAGAATCCAGGTGTGCCAGTACCTTAGAGTTCCTAGCTGGGTCATTGTTAGGATCATAGAATGGTTCTCCTGCAGTCTCATCTATCTCAGACTCCTCTCCCCACATGGGAGGGGGAGGAGTTCGCATATTCTTTGGATTCTTTACAAGACTTCCATTATCAACAAACTTGATGTTATTATCCGGAGTTAAAGCTGGTGTTATCATAGATCTTTGTGATGGAGCTAACTTCCTCTTCGATCTCAAATAATACCTTTCTAAAATCTCCTTCTGCTTTGGGTCAAGTTCATTCTGATTATACGGATCCTCATAAATCACATCTAATTGCTTTTTGTTATTAAACCTTCGTATGGCAGATGTCTGGAAAAGATTATCTCCAGAATTTTGTAAAGACTTGGCATAGTTAACCATCCCTCTCGAAGAGGCTTTACTCTGAGGTATACTCTCTGGGGTCTTCTCTCTATACTGTGACACTCTCTCAACTTTAGGCAACTCAGTTCTTTCCAGTGAATGAGAGACTCCAAAATTCTGCATACTTCTTTTGAAATGAGAAGAATCATTATTTTTGTACCCAGAGTCTATTCTTTTATTCGACTTGTCTTTAAAGGACTGAACTACTGGGTTATTCCTCTCAGCTAATTTATTAGTGATATTGTCTAATCTGTATGAATATTGCCTTCCTCCAGAAGTACTTCTATTACTCTTTTGGGAGAAATTACTATAAGCAGACCCTGCCATAGGCTCAAGAGTAGATCTTTGAGAAGGCTTATTAGAGTTATTTCTACTGGAGATATCATTAATACGGGACCTTCGTGAGGCCCCTGGTCTGTCTAGAGAGCCGTTCATTCCATATTCATAATTATATGCCATTAACGAAGAATTTATAATTTAATTTTCATTTTTGTCAAAATCAAAGGGGTTTTGGGGTTTTGGGGTTTTGGGGTTTTGGGG